CTTGCACAGGGGCCTTAAAAATAAATAAATAAATAAAGAAATAAAACTGAACACTGTAGCCCCAATCTAAATAAAACACACGCACAAAAACAAAAAAAAAAAAACACTGTAGCCCCAATCTATTCACTCAGCGCAGAAGACAAGTCCTGTTCCTTTAGCACAAGATACTAGGTCATCATGGGTTTATGAAACCATGTGATTCGGTCACAAGGGAGGCGGTTTGTCTGTACAGTTTCGACTGAAAGTACAGACCTCACAGGTTCAAGTCCTCTCAGATTGCTGAATCGACAAACGGCAAGATCGTATCATGGACTCAAATTTCATTTTCTCCTTTCCGTCAGCGGTGTACCTCAGGTAGTGGACAAGTGATTGCTTTCAAATTCACGGAAATCTGGGATGTAAATAGTACAGACAATCCTGAGCCAAGTCTGATTCAACTCAATTTAATAATAAAGTATTATTGGATTTTCAGAAAGGTGCAGAGTCTCAATGGAAGCTATCCTAATGTCAATTTTTCAAAAATTCTTCAATAATGTGTTTTGACTGGCCCCAGGCAATTCATTAGTAGTTGGTTTGACTCGTCAAGTTCCATTATCTGGATTCGAACACAGGTCTGTATTTCAACAGTTTCATGGGTGTGGTCCCCACTGAGCTAGGCTCTTAGTTGGCAGTAGACTTTGCACGCGTGAGGTTATGGCTTCTCCTTTCTCCAAACAACTTCTTTCCTGTAGGCATTTTTGGATTTTGGACTGCCCCGTCCTGGTACTTAGCGTTGTGCAGCAACTTGTGCTCCATTGAGTCGGAATTACTTTGAGAATTTCCCCCAAAGTCTCGGTAAGCACAACAAAAAAAGGAAAAAACAGAAAAAAAGAAAAAAAAGGGAAAAAAAAAAAAAAGGAAAAAAAGAAATAAAAGAGAAGAAAAAGAAGAAGAAAAAAGAAAGGAAAAAAAAAGAAGTTCAGAGCTCTTCACGTAAGAGTTTTTGGGGCTCCACCCCCCAGGTCTTTCTGGACTTTTACAAAAACAGGGGCTTCCAGAAAGACCTGGGGGGTGGAGCCCCAACGTACCAGGGCACAATTCTGGACTTTCACGCCACATTGTGCTCTCCATTTCCCCGGAGGCCAAAATTGTGGCCTGATACGTTGGACCATTTTCAACGGATTTCTTGGAAAGCGATACGGTAGCGGCGTGGCCCTTAGTCTCAAGTTAAGCACCCCAGAATCAGCACCCGACCCGATTGAGGGGCCTTATTCGGCCCCTCAACATTCAACATGAACCTCGACCGGATACATTACAAGGGACTGAATGTATCGGGACGACTGCAGAACCAGATTCATTTGAAATGTTCTGTAGTGGAGGTAGGCATTCGAGTGATCTTTGATACATTAAAAGGGGACTGAATGTTCGTACCAGTACGGAGGGTCCCAGTAGAAGTTGTTTAGACCAACCAACGGGGCTAGCTCATCGGTACACCCCATGAATCACTTAGACCAATCATTCATTACTATGACTAGCGACGGATGCATCTCAACCGTTTCTGGGGAAGATGCATCCGTTAATTTTTCGTGTCGACGGTGGTGTGGTGATGCATTCATTACTATGACTAGCAACGGATGCATCTCACCCGTTTCTGGGGAAGATGCATGTGTTAATTTCGTATGTCTACAGTGGTGTGGTGATGCATTCATTAGTATGACTAGCAACGGATGCATCTCACCCCTTTCGGGGGAAGATGCATTCGTTAATTTTCCGTGTCTACAGTGGTGTGGTGATGTGGTGACACATTCATTAGTATGACTAGCAACGGATGCATCTCACCCCTTTCTGGGAAAGATGCATTCGTGAATTTTCCGTGTAACAGTGGTGTGCTGAGGTCCTCGATGGGCGCATCATTCAGCCACATGAGCTGGCAATGGAGCCTCATCCCTTCGACAGCTTCTTTTTACTTTTTTTTTTTTTTTCCAAAGAAAGGTAAGCTATATTCTTCTCTCAACCATAGATCCCTTGGACAGCTTCACTGATGCCATACTAACAGTAGCTGTATGTAAATGTATCTGGCCGGATTTACAGTAAGGGCCGGATGTATTTGGCCACAACTACATCCATAAATAAGTAAAAACTTACTAAAAGAGTCCTGGCTACAGAGCTTGATCGCGGCAACAGCTTCACTGAGGGCATACTAGCATTAGCTGTATCTTGAATGTATCTGATCGGATTTATGGTCAGAGATGGATGTATTTGACCACAAATACGTCCATAAACAAGTAAACAAAGTCTTAAGGTGAGCAGAAGCCCTGATACAAACTTTCTGATGTGTGAAGAGAGGACAAAACCGCAAAAACCAACTGAAACGTAAGGGCCAAGATCACAAGAACTCTGCCTTTATGTGAGGGACGCCGGACCCGTTTTCTGGCTCGGTTAATACACTGCTACTCCCGGTGTGTACTGGGCCGGAGTGCCCAGAACATACCGAAAGTTGAAAAACAACAACAACAACAACAACAACAACATCTCGAGTGTTATTAGAAGTTGAGGGTCAAATCCGCAAACAGACAACCGCAACGAAAAGACCACAATCGCAGCAACACCATGCGGAGTCGTAGAAGCTGACCGCAAAACCGCAAATGACAACTGAAACGAAAGGACCACGACCGCAAAAACAACATGTGGCGTTGTAGAAGCTGAGGGCAAAACCGCAAACAATTGAAGCGAAAAGGTCGAGATCACAAAAACGACACGTGGAATTGTGGCCGCTGCAGTGTTCTATCGCTATCTATCCCTCAGCGACAAAATTGTTGTTGTTGTTGTTGTTGTTTTTGGGGGGGCGGAGGTGACAAAAGTTCACATCCCTCTACCTGTTCTTTTTTTTTTTTTTTTTTTTTTCCCCTCAAGAAGATGTCCTCCTTTACTATAGAAGCCAGAAACTGGCCCGGCATCCTTTGGGCTTGGCCGGGAGTGCCTCGCCCAGCCTGTGAATGGCTACGGCATAAATGTGTGGGACGCAGGACCCAGTTTCCGGCAAAAATGGACGGGTATTGTTCAAAAAAAAAAAAAAAAAAAAGAAGAAGAACTGTGCAGTGCCACACGGTGAGGGAGGCATCACCGGCCAGGCTCAAAGAGGGGGACCGCATAGAAAAAGGGTTAAAAACAGCATCTGCCAGCACAAAGAAAAACACAGCCACATAATGCATAGTAATTTTGCTTACGGTGCCGGCAGAAATGAAAAAGCAGTACCCAGGGAACATCAGCAACAAAAAAAAACAAAAAAAAACAAAAAAAAAAAGAGAAAAGGAGACGAAGACGAGCGGTTCCCAACACACCTCCTTTGAGGAAAATAGAGGAGGTTGCCGATTGGAAAAAAAAAATAAAAATAGATAAATAAATAAATAAAATTTTGACAACCAAACACTTTCCTGTCCGCCAGAGAAAAGCAAACCAAAAAACAAAGGGAAAATTTTTGAAATGCCCCTCTGACTCTCATTTATTTGCCGTATGCCCCTCTGATGGCCAACATACTCTGTCAGGCCCCTCTGATAACGATTGAAGCTTCCAAAAAAACCCTGGTGTTGTTTGGGCCTGAAATATGTTCAATATGCCCCTACCGGTACCAGTTCCCAATTTCCAGTATGCACGGGTAGGTCCCGTCCCAGGGCCAGGGGAGGAATGCCAACAACCGCCACAGGGGCATGCTGGAAAGTTGCACCCCTCACTGACAGGGCCTGCAGGAAACTTCAGACACCCCAGGGGCTTGACAGAGTAAGACAGCATACCTCAAATAACTGGAAGTCGGAGGGGTATTCCGAAAATCCCCGCCCCCCAAAAAAAAAAGCCAGACTGCAATTTCCTTGACCCCCCCAAAAAAAAAAAAAAAAAAAAAAAAAACTCAACGCAGCAGAGTCGAGCAGAAGCCAATTACAAGCTTTATACAGACTTGCACCCACGTCTTTCCCGTCCGCAAAAGAAAAGCAACCCCCCGCCCAAAAAAATCGCAAGACTGCAGTTTTCATGACCCCGCGCGCCCCCCCCCCAAAAAAAAAAAAAAAAAACTCAATGCAGCAGAGTTAAGCAGACGGCAAGTACAAGCTTTATGCAGACTTGCAACCACATCTACACTACCCTCTTAGTCGTCTATAAGTCAAAAAAAAAAAAAAAAAAAAAAAAAGTAATTCAGGAGTCAATCATGTCCAAGGGCCAGCTGGTAGCACCTACTCCAAACGCACAAGCGGCGAGGGGTTCCACTAGCAAAGAGGGGATTGCATAATTGGATTATTAAGCACCTGAATCTGGATGTGTTTTCAGCAGAGATGCAAGACAGCAGCAGTTCAATCTCGATTTTCTGCACCTTTGCACAAACACGGCCAGATTCAGGCATTCAGTCCAATCATCTTTACTAGTGAGACCTCGCCCAAGGAGGGATCGGAACCCCCCTCCAAGGTTGAGATAGAGTC